TTCAACATGTGAACTGAGGAGGGACACAATTCAACAAATTATATCTGTGTGAAATCTACACAAAAGGGTGCTGATCATGGGACAAGGACAAATTGAGATCAGCTTTTAAAAAATTAGGTTCATAAAACCCTTTAAAAATAAATTATATTCTCATTAATGGCCATGTACCAGGGACTCATCAATAATTCTCTTAAGAGAGCTCAGAACAATACGCCATAGCCATGCCGCCAGACCCCATGCCAGGTTGTTTCATTTGGGAAAACCCGGAGGGGGGCTGGTGAGATACCCTCCCCACCCCAAAGGAGCCTGCCCTGGCTGCCAAAATCTCCAGAACACAACTGCCACCATGCTCATGGCTGCTCTACACATGCTCAGACAAGCCACACCCATGAGTGAGTCTATTCCTAGATACCTCATACCACCACCAATATACCAAGAGTATCACACCACATTTGATGGGGTTTAAAGGAGAAGGAAACCAATCTTAGAGGAAGATATATTTATATACACACACGCACACACACATATATATATATACACACACACACACACAAGACTCAACCTTTAACAGTATCTTACTAATCTCTTATAGAAGGGTTTAATGGCTCCTGGGTGAAATACAACAATCGTCACACCTTTTCCTCTAAGAAACATTTTTTGAATTATTTTTAGCAGACTATTCATAACAAGCAATACAAAATAAATTATTTCAGTTATGCTTTGGGGGCAGAGTTTGGGCTTTGGGATGAAACATCCAAAATATGGTGGTGGGAAGGTGTAATGGTGATGAGATTGGTGTTCAAATATTAAATGTAATCAAATATTGTGAACAACTTTATAAAAATAAAATTAAATTTAAATAAAATTTAAATAAAATTTAAATAAAACAAAAACAAAAATTCTAAACCTATGCTATTTAAAATGCATAGTGGATTTCTGACAGCTAAGTGCTTCCTTAGTTAAATAGTGTTTTTATTCCCTCATTTTTAAAGCACCTATTCTTTGACAAGCATTCTGCCAGGCGTTGGTAAACATGTTTCTTCACCTGGATCCTAAAAATATATCTTAAAGAACACAACATGTGTTTTAGCAGACTGCTTAACAAGTAGCAACCTAGGGCATGCTTGTTCACACTTTCTCTCAGTTTTTCAAGGTTGCATTCTGCTGGAAACAGGTGTGGAGACTTTTCTTCACACCACTTCCTCTTCTCCCCCTCCAAGTACTAACATAAGTAGCAATTCTTAACCTTTTCCACCTGAGATCCTGGTTACAACGCACAACACGTGAGAAAGTGTTGCCAGAAACACCTCAGATTCATTACTCTTTTGATACTGAATTAATCTGTGTGTGCTCAGAAACCTTTTATTACCAAAACTTCATGAACTTCATTTTAAGTTATGGAGTCACCACTCACTTTAAGAAGCCTTTTGGCTTCTCAACTGGAGGCCTGACAGTGAGCGCCCAGGATAGTCCCCCGGGGTGGGGGTGGGGGTAGCTGTGTGTATGTGTGTGTGTGGGGGGGGGGGGGTTGGTCATAGATGAAAATTGTCTGTATGAGAGGTTGTGAGATAAGACTAGGGTGTCCCATACTCCAAGAGTACTGTACCACATTTGATGGGGTTTAAAGTAGGAGGCAACCAATCTTAGAGGGAAATATTGTTTTACAGATAGATAGATAGATAGATAGATAGATAGATAGATAGATAAGTAGACAGACAGACAGACAGACACATAAGGCTCAACCTTTAACAACATGTTATTGATCTGGTATAGAAGGGCTTAATGGCCTCTGGGTGAAATACAACAATCTTCACACTCTTTACCCCCCAAAAAACCTTTTTTGTAGCATTTTCAGCAGTTTTTCATAACAAACAATACAAAATAAATTATTTTGGTTCAGCTTTGGGACAGGGATTGGTGTTCAGGATAGAAACATACAAAATATGGTGCTGGGAAGGTGTAATGGTGATGGGAGTGAGTAGGGCATTTGCCTTGCATGCAACCCACCAGGCTGACCCGAGTTCGATTCCTCCACCCCTCTCGAAGAGCCCGGCAAGCTATCGAGAGTATCTCACCTGCATGGCAAAGCCTGGCAAGCTAACCATGACATATTCAGTATGCCAAACACAGTAACAAGTCTCACAATGGAGACGTTATTGGGCCCTCTTGAGCAAATCGATGAACAACGGGAGGACAGTGCTACAGTGTGAACTACTTCATAAAAAAAAAAGTTTAAATAAATTAAAAAAAAGACTAGGGTGCCAGTCAGAATGGTGGGGGCAGGGTGGGGGCAGCCAACATAACAAGGAAATAAAATCAGAAAGAGGCCACAGTCAGAAAATGGTTAAAACACTGAGCTAAAGGATCTAAAAGAAAAACAGGGCTACTCACAGTACCTTCTCCCTTTGGATGAAAGACTTTGATCATGACTATATTTACTGATTGCCTTTACAGTAATCCTCTCTGCTTCCCCTCATCCTTTTACAGTTAAACTGCTGATGAGTGTGCGGTATTATTTAACAAGTGTACCTAATAGCATTCACGTGTTAGATTTAACTTGCAAGCAGACATTATATGAAATAATAAAAAAAAAAACTTTCAAGTTTTATCAAACTTACAGTTTTTACGGTCTCATTCCTGACGTTCCATTCACTCTCAATGGGATGAACATCTCCAAATGTAACAGTTATGTGTACCTAGGTCCAGAAGTCAACATGACGAATGACCGGGCACCTGAGATGCGCAGGAGGAAGAGAGCGGCTTGGAATGCCTTCAAGAGCGTTGAAGAAATAGCTAAGAGGAGGAAGAACCTCTGGCTCCGGGCACATCTCTTCGATTCCACTGTTCTTCCTGCATTAACATACGCCTCAGAGACCTGGGCCCTACGAAAATAGGATGAGAATGCTATTTGGGTCTCCCAAAGAGAAATCAAAAGAGATATTCTTGGAGTATCATGCTTCATTCAAATGAGAGAAAGAATCCGAGTTCTGACCTCCGTCAACAGGCAAGAATCAGGGATGCTGTCTCATTTGCCAAGGTGTTGAAAATCAGATGGGCTGGACACGTAATGAGATTTGGAGATGACCGCTGTACTAGAGCCATTAAAGACTGGATTCCACTGCAACGTCAAAAGATCACGTGGCTGCCCACCTATGAGATGATCAGACTTCTTCATCAAGACCCTGAACGATCTGTTTGAGGCTCTTCGTATTCCTAGAATGAGCAGACGCCATTGGGCTACACTGTCACGTGATAGGGACTAATGGAGATGTTACTGGCACCCCTTGAGCAAATCAATGAGTAATGGGATGTCAAGTGATCAGGTGACAGTTTTTATCCCTGATGTTGATTGTGTCATTAATTTTTTTTAATCTAAAATGTTGCTTAAAAAAAAAGTTACTCAGGGTTAACTCTTGGCTCTATGCTCACAGTTCATTTCTGACAGGGCTCAGGGACCATATGGAGTGCCAGAGATCAAACCTTGGTTTGCTGCTTGCAAGGTAAGTACTCAAACAGCTGCATCTTTGGTCTGCCCCGATTGTGTATTTTTAATCAAATTTCTAGCTTTGAGAGACTATTCATCACAGCAAGGATGTTAAGTGAAACTTAACCTTTACTATCATGTATAGCAAAACTGAATTTTGTCCATTTTATGTCTTGCTTTCATTATTTATTATATAATTAATTATTATATGAAGACCAGGATATAGCTCAGTGGTAGAGTGCATGCCTTATATTTATGAAGCCCTGGGTTTAAATCCTAGAATCACACACACACACACAAACACACACTCACACTCACACTCACACTCACATACATACTCACATATATGCCCACACGGCAAAGACTGGCAAGCTCCCCATGACGTATTCGATATGCCAAACACAGTAACAAGAAGTCTCAAAATGGAGACTTCACTGGGCTCGCTTCTAAATATGAGCCAACCTTATTAGTTTGTAGTGATGTGAAAGATGCTTCGACTTTGAAGAAACACTGAGAGCAAAATGAGAACAGACCTTTTTTTTAAAATTTAAAGTATTACAAGATTCTAGACTTTTCAGTTGACTATAGTCAAAATAGACGACTAGAGAGAGCAAGATTCAACTGAAATGCCCTCTAAATTATAATTCATAGCTGCCTTAATTATAATTTTTAGGGAAAGTATTTTGAAACTTACATTTTTCCTTTACAAAAAGATTTTTATTGAACCAATTTAAAAAAAATTTTAAGACCTAAATATTTTTGCTTTGCTTTGTTGCAGCAATACCCAAACTCTAAACTGCCCCATGTATGGGCACTTGATCATTGTATAACTGAAACCCAAGCACAAAAATTTATGCGTCTACAACTGTACCTCATGGTGTTTCAATAATAAAAATTTTAAAAAAATAAAGTCTAGGAACACATTATTTATTTATATTATTTTATGAGACCATATTCTTTAAATTTTAAGTAAAATCTTGTGATGCTTTGTATTTAAAAAAAAAAAAGGCCATACTGGAACTGAAATTAAAATAGACAACAGTCCAAGTCACAAAGCTTTTGAAAACTCCTCCCCAGCATTCTAACCTCCATTTGGCAGTGATGTCATAGTGTCCTACGTAGTTGTAGGATCCAAATAACCAAAAGAGAACTGAGGCGACACAGTGGATTGCTAGATAAATCATATTATTTTATCAATGAATTTTATATTGCTTTTTTTTTTATCTGGAGTTTTTGCCTCAGATATAATTGATTTGAGTCCCTCTGATGAAGGTAAGCATTGAAAACTTTCTTAGATAAAGCAGATAAGAAAGATGATCTGTTCTAGAAAGTTGGTATGTGTCAATCTACAGCTAGGTGTAAAGTATATTGTTGGAAATACATCATTTCAATTCCTAAATCTTCCTCCCAATTTTTTGTGGAGAAATAAAATTGCAGTTAGAATAAGAAAGAAATCCAAGATGTTAGCTTATTTCTGATCTGTCACGTGTCATCCTTTTTTTTAGACGCTGATTTAATGTCTGGATCCAATGAAATACAAGATAAAGAAGAAATACAAGCAGAAGAGGAATCAGCTGTAGAGGACCAAGGACCTGCAACAGAGCCACCACCTGCAGTGGAACAAATACCTGAGGACCAAGCAGCCGTTGTAGGGGACCAATCAACCCTTCCAGATGAGTCACCAGCAGCTGAGAATACAGTTAACATGGAGCAAACACCTGCAAAAAAGCCACAAGAGAATCAGAATCAAGCACAAAACCAGGAACAAGATGAAACACACTATCAAGCACAAAACCCAGAAGCAGAAGCTAGGGACAAAAATAACCAAGGTTTTAGAGATTCAAAACAGTGTAAGATCTTGACATAAATAGCAATACATAGACTAGGTTTAGTTTAACTATTTAAAAATTCCTATAGTCATTCAACATTCTACTTTCTGACATTCTAATTTACTTTATAAACCGTCTGTGTACAGTAAAATTCTTTTCTCTTTCAACCTTTTAAAAGAGATGTTACAAAGTTTGACAAATTTTTCTCAGTGATATTTTATAAACATAGGATTCATCATGGTTACTTTGTCGCTTTAACAATTGACCTAATTCTGTGTTGAATACCCTTAATATCTTTTTCTTGCCTAACCACTATGGCAAGTACTTCGAGTACTATATTGAACAGAAGTGGAGAGAGTGGGCATCCTTGTCTCGTCCCTGATCTTAGAGGGTAGGCTCTTAGTTCTTCCCCATTGAGGATGATGCTTGCCATAGTCTTGGGGTAGATGGCTTTAATTATATTGAGGAAAGTCCCTTCTATCCCCATTTTAGCAAGGGTTTGCATCATAAATTGGTGCTGGATCTTGTCAAATACTTTCTCTGTATCTATTGATATATGGTTTTTATCTTTTTTTTGTTAATGTGATGGATTATGTTGATTGATTTCTGAATGTTAAACCATCCTTGCATCCCCAGGATGAATCCCACTTGGTCGTGGTGTATGATCTTTTTGATGAGTTGTTGAATTCTATTTGCTAGTATTTTGTTGAGAATCTTCGCATCCGTATAGAGATATCGGCTTGTAGTTTTATTTTCTTGTGGTGTCTTTGTTTCCTTTTGGTATTAGGGAGATATGGGCTTCTGAAACTGCTTGGGAGAGTTTCTGTTTCTTCAATTTCCTGGAAAAGCTTGAGAAGAACTGGCAATAGGTCCTCTTTAAATGTTTGGAAAAATTCGCTAGTGAATCCATCTGGACATGAGCTTTTGTTTTGGGGAACACTTTTGATTACAGTTTCAATTTCCTTGATACTAATAGGTCTGTTTGGGTTTTCTAGATCTTCTTGGTTCAACTTTGGGAGATTATAGGAATCCAGGAATTTATCCATTTCTTCTAGGTTCTCTTGTTTCATACCATACAGACTTTCAAAGTAGTCTCTAATGATCTTTTGAATTTCTTTGGTTTCCGTTGTGAAGTTCCCCTTTTCATTTCTGATTCAGGTTTATTTAGAGTTCTCTCTCTCTCTTTGTGAGTTTTGCTAGTGGTTTACCAATTTCGTTTATTTTCTCGAAGAACCAGCTCTTGGTTTCATTGATTTTTTGAATTGTTTTGGATTTTCATGTAGTTGATTTCTGCTCTAAGTTTTATGATCTCTTACCTTCTGCCTTTTGTTGGTCCTTTTCTAAGATATTTAGCTGTGAAGTCAAGTTGCTTAAGTGAGCCCTTTCTTCCTTCCTGAGAAATGCTTGCAGAGCTATAAATTTTCCCCTTAACACATCTTTTTTTTTCATTTTTTATAATTTTATTTATTGAATCACCACGAAAGTAGTTACAAAGCTTTTGGGTTTAAGTCTCAGTCATACAATGAAACACCCGTACCTTCACCAGTGCCTATTCTCCACCACCAAAAACCCCAGTATACCCCCATACCACACCCTTCCCCTACCTGTGGGGAAGATTATTTTCACATTACTCTCTCTCTACTTTGATCACATTGAATATTTTGACACCAAACTCACCATTATAATTTGGAATTTTACCCCAACACTCAGATCTGCTGAAAAGGCAACAGTAGACAATTTGTTTTCTATTGCTGGTTAAGAATAATATATGATATCATGTAGCTGCAGTAGTGGCCATGAGATTTTGAAATTCCAAAATTTCAACACTTAAATCTGGAGGGATTTCTGCCAAAACCTGCTGCATTCTGAGACTTGTTCCTGAGTCTCTTGGATCATAGCCATTAAGCAGCTTGATCAGGAGCCAGAGAGGCCATTCGTGGAGGATGACTTGGGGTCTCATTGGGGTGGGGAGGAAAGGGCCGGCTCCACCCCCATCTAGTGAGGCCCCATGTGTCTCGTCACTGAGGGCCCAAACATGACTGTCCAATGGCCTCTGGAGGATGGCAGCCACCGAGCCGCCTAGGGGGAGCAGTGGAGGCATAGCACCCTTTCCCTCCTGGTGTGGCCCAGCGACAGTAACCTACTGCGGGTCTGGATGCATTTCTGCAAAAAGCCACTGGGTTTTGAGATTTGTTTCTGAGTCTCTGGGATCATGGCTGTTAAGCAGCTTGATCAGGAGCCAGAGAGGCCGTTCATGGGTGGCAAACCGGGATCTCATTGGGGTGGGGAGAGAAGGGCCTCCCCCATCCTGTGAGTCCCCGCGTGTCTCATCACTGTGGGCCCTCATTGTCCAGTGGCCTCCAGAGGATGGCAGCCACTGGGTCGCCAGGGGGAACAGGCCAAGGCACAGAACCTATTCCCACATGGGGTGGCCCAGAGTCGGTAACCTATTGCAGGGACAGACACATTTATGCCAAAAGCCGCTGGGTTTCAAGATTTGTTTCTGAGTCTCTGGGATCATGGCCATTAAGCAGCTTGATCAGGAGCCAGAGAGGCTGTTTGTGGGCCGCGAGTCGGGGTCTTGTTGGGACAAGGAGGAAAAGGCTGGCTCCACCCCAATCCCATTAGACCCCGTGTGTCTCGTCACTGTGGGCCCAAACCTGACTGTCCAGTAGCCTCTGGGGGATAGCGGTCACCAAGCTGCCAAGGAGGAGCAGATGGAGAGACAGCATCCTTTCCCCCCTGGGGTGGCCCAGAGATAGTAACCTATTGCAGAGTCCGGGTGCATTTCTGCCAAAAGTCGCTGGGTTTTGAGATTTGTTTCTGAGACTCTGGGATCATGGTTGTTAAGCAGCTTAATCAGGAGACAGAGAGGCCGTTTGTGGGTGGTGACTCAGGGTCTCGTTGGGGTGGGGAGGAAAGGGCCAGTTCTACCCCCATCCCGTGAGGACCCGCATGTCTCGTCCCTGTGGGTTCAAACCTGACTGTCCAATGGCCTCTGGCAGATGACAGCCACCAAGCCACCTAGGGAGAGCAGTCAGAGAGGGACAGCACCCTTTTCCCCCTGGGGTGGCCCGGCGACAGTAACCTACTGCAGGGTCCAGACGCGTTTCTGCCAAAAGCCACTGGTTTCCAAGATTTGTTTCTGAGTCTCTGGGATCATGGCCATTGAGCAGCTTGATCAGGAGCCAGAGAGGCCGTTTGTGGGTGGCGACTTGGTGTCTCATTGGGGTGGGGAGAAAAGGGCCGGCTCCACCCCCATCCCATGAGGCCCTGCGTGTCTCATCACTGTGGGCCCAAACCTGACTCTCCAGGGGCCTCTGGAGGATAGCAGCCACTGGGCCGCCAGGGGGAACAGGCCAAGGCACAAAACCTATTCCCACCTGGGTTGGTCCAGTGCTGGTAACCTACTGCAGGGACCAGATGCATTTCTGCCAAAAGCCGTTGGGATTTGAGATTTGTTTTTGAGTCTCTGGGATCATGGCCATTAAGCAGTTTGATCAGGAACCAGAGAGGCCTTGCCTCCAATTATATAGCTGAGCCCAAGATGGTTTGTGGATGTGTCTCCCACATACCTAACTTTTGGCCATTTACTTTCTTGGTAAATTTTGTCCGAAGTTTTTAGGGTCTGGTCGAGGCACAGCAGCAATTTTGGGGTATAGGGAAGTCTGAAGGCACCATCAGGCTGCTGATGTACTTGCCTCACAGATACAGATTGACCTGCTGGCGGCACCATACCCGCGACCCTCAACACTGCCTTAGCTGTGTCCCACAGGTTCTGGTAGCTCATGCCTTCATTCCCATTTGTTTCCACATATCTTTGATTTCTTCCTGGATTTCTTTCCTGACCCACTTGTTGTTCAACATTGAGTTGTTTATTTTCCAGGTGTTTGATTTGGTTTTCTGCATCTGCACGTGATTAACTTCTATCTTCAATGCATTCTGGTCAGAGAAGATAGTTAATACAATGTCTATCTTCTTGATTCTGTTGAGATATGCTTTGTGGCACAATGCATGGTCTATTCTGGAAAATGTTCCATGTGCACTGGAAAAGAATGTGTGTTCTTTTTAGGGGGATAGGGCTTCCTTCAGAGCCATTATTTCCTTGCTGAGTTTTAATCTTTTTGATATATCCAGAGGTGATAAGGTGGTGTTGAACTCTCCAACCACTATTGTGTTGCTCACAATGTCTTTCTTAAGGTCTGTTAACAGTTGTTGTAGGTATTTGACTGATCCCTCAATGGGTGTGTATACGTTTAAGAGTGTGATTTCTTCCTGCTGTACATATCCCTTGATTAATAAAAAATGGCCTTCACTGTCCCTTCTAATCTTTTTTAACCTGAAATCTATGTTGTCCAAAACTAGTAAGGCCAACCCAACATTTTTTTTTAAAAATTGCTTAAAACACTTGGGGCTGGAGCGATAGTATACAGCGGGTAGGGCGTTTGCCTTGCACGCAGCCAACATGGCTGACACAGGTTTGATTCCCAGCATCCCATATCCCCCAAGCACTGCCAGGAGCAATTCCTGAGTGTATGAGCCAGGAGTAACCCCTGAGCATCGCTGGGTGTGACTCAAAAAAAGCAAAAAAAAAAAAACAAAAACAAAAAAAACCTTTATTGCTCACTGATCAGTCTGTAAAATACAATAAAAAAGAATTACTAGAACAATAAAATGGAAAGCAAAGATGTGTTAAAATACAAGGCCTGCTATTTTATTAGTTTATTTACTTATGTATTAGGTTCATTACTCATAAAATTATTCTAATTGCTGTGCAAGTTTGAACTTAAATCCTGTACTTTTTGTGTAAAGGTAGCAGATAATTGATCATGCTCTGAATGCTCTGAATCTTAGAAGCAAGCAACCCAACTTTTTTGAGGGGATTGTTTGTTGCAGGATTGTTTTCCATCCTTTGACTTTGAGTCTTTGTTCTGACTGTTCAGATGTGTTTCTTGTAGACAGCAGAATGTTGGGTTCTGTCTCTGAATCCATTTTGCCACTATGTGTCTCTTAATTGGTGAATTTAGACTATTGACATTGAGAGATATTATTGTCATGGGGTTTTGTGTCATTTTTTCTGTAAGGGTTTGTTGTGCTTATAGGGGTTTGTTTTGTCTTATAGTAGCCCTTTAGCTCTTCTTTTAGGTTTGGTTTTGAGTTTAGGAAGTGCCTGAGCTGTTGTTTATCCACAAAATAGTGTACCTTTCCTTGGAGTTTGAGTGAGAGTTTAGCCGGATAAAGTATTCTTGGTGAAGCATTCATTTCATTGAGTTTTTTCACTATATCTCACCATTGGGCCTTTGGGCTTGGAGGGTTTCCTCTGATAGGTCTGCTGTGAATCTAAGGGGTGCTCCTTTGTATGTGATTTCCTTCTTTGACCTTGCTGCTTGCAGTATTGTGTCTGTATCTGTGGCATGCATCATTCTAACTATGATATGTCTTGGAGTGTTTTTGTTAGAGTCTCTTTTAGCTGGCACCCTTCAGGCTCCTTGAATCTGAATGACTACATTGTCCAGCTCCAGGAACTTTTCAGAAATGATTTCTCTAATTGTGCCTTCTTCATTGGGATTGCTTCCCTTATCTTCTGGTACTCCAATGATTCTAATTCTGTTCCTCTTGAAATCATCTGCTAGAACTCTGATTCCCTCTAGAGCTATTTTGAGGTACCTTGCCATTGTTTGTTGTTGCCTGTAGGCTTCCTGCAGCTCATCTTCAAACTCACTGATTCTGTTTTTGGCTGTAGCCATTCTACTGTTGAGGGCACACACTGAGTTTTTTATTTCATCTACCAAATCCTTTAATCGTGACACTTCTGTGTGTAGCTTTTCAATTTCTGCTCTCATTTCTTCCTGTAATTTCTCAATTGTCCGATCCATTGTTTCTTTCATGTCCTCCTTTAATTTACTTTATATCTGTCCCACTGTTTCTATGAGTTCATTGAACATCTTCAATAGTTCATCTCTGAATTCTTTATTGGAGAGCTCACATTTGTGAGAAAGGCCTATTCTGGACTCTTTTCATCATCCTCTCCTCGTGGTGGGGATTTGCGCTGTTTCTTCATGTTGTTGTGGTGGTATGGAGACTGAGATGTGGCACCAGATTGCTGGGTATGGGTAAAATAACTGTGGTCGTGTGAGCAGCTGCTGACCCCAACATAGGCTACGCCCACTTCTGCAGAGGGCATGCCCACTTCTGCAGAGGCCACGCACCCTACAGGTCCCTGGGAGAGGGGGAATACTGGGTGCGGCGTTGGGGAAAAACAGGAAGGTGCTTGGGAGGGTGGGCGGCCCAGGGTCTGAGAGGATGCCTGGGACCTGGGCGCAGGGAAGGTGGTGTCCCAGGTTTGATAATTCAACGGACTGGCCCCAGAAAGTCTTGACATATAGTTGCAAAGTTATAGTTTCTATTTCTGTCTCCAAATATCATTTTCCCTCTGTGTTCAAATTTCCCTCTTAAGGGTACAGTCATATTGGCTTAGGAACCCCCTGTATTCCAGTGAGATTTCATTGCATCTAATTACAGTCTTCAATGGCTCTACTTCCAAATTAGGTCACATTCTGAAGTACTAGGGGACAGAGTTAGAATTTCAACATATCCTCTGAGGTGGGGTAAAGACACAGAACCCATTGTATAATTGTAAGATATCTAGAAGGTTCATAAATTTTTTTTATTCACCATTTCTTATATGACTTTTCTTTCCAAGTTCTTTAAAAGGTACACTACTCTAAATAGTTAAAGTTTATAAGAAATTCTTGGTAATTAAAAACATTTAATTTTCATTTCTACTTCTGTGATTTGCCTGTACATATCCTTGACATGTTTTTCCATTAAGTTGTATTTTGACTTATCTACAGCATTATTTCATATATAAATATTAAAAAATTTCCTTCATGAAAATGTAATAAGTATTTTATCCAGGGAGTTGATTATCTTGAGACCTCCTTAAGTCTCTGGAGAGAAAGGGGGAGTTAGTGGCCATTGGTGGATGTGTCTGGAGGCCACAGATGATGGTGTCTCAAGGCTTGAGGACTGTTCCATGACTTCTGCCTACAAAGTATGTATTTTGGATATTTGAGTAGTGGCTCCAAATTCTTTTTTTTTCTTTTGGGTCACACTTGGAGATGCTCAGTGGTTACTCCTGACTCTGCACTCAGGAATTAGTCCTGGCGGTGCACGGGGACCATATGGGATGCTGGGAATTGAACCTGGATCAGCTGTGTGCAAGCAAACGTCCTACCAGCTGTACTATCACTCCAGCCCCCTCTCCAACTTCTTGAACATTAACAGAAGTGATCCTTGAGTGTTCAAGTACCTTAATCTTTATGATTCATACTTTTTATTATCTTGCTTAAATACCCCTTTACCTAATCCAAGATAGTGAATTATCCCCAAATTTTTGAATAATTTCATATTTTTGTTTTAAACTCTTAAACCTTAAATCAAAATATTTTTGGTTGTGCATAAAATAGGCATAGTAAGCACTTTACTTTTTATATTTGTGAAGAGGATCACCAAGTTCCTAGCAGCAATTCTCCAGTCATATAAAACACATTTAACATGATCTAAATTTCTGTTTGAAATGGGTCAGTTGTTACTTTATTATTCTGTTGATTTATCTCTGAAAAAATACCTTGGTGTTTTCAGTTACTTTTTTTATCTCACAACATGAATTTTTAACTATTAGTTCCCTTTTTCCACCTGTAGCTACAGCTCAGAAGTTCTTAAATCCATTAATTTCACCATCTGAAATGTTGTAAATGCAAATGAGTGAATGTAGAGATATGTATTAGACATACCTATACATTCATATATATACATATATAAATGCACATATACACAGTGAGATACATAATTTTCCATAATTTCATGGCTTTTTGGAAGTAAGAAAAATATATGTCTCAGGATGTACATCTAAATGAGCTATTCTTAGCTTTAATTTCAAGGATAACTTCTGTTAATGTTCAAGGAACCATATGGGGTGTCAGGGATTGAATCTAGTTTAGCAGCATGCAGAGCAAATGCCCTACCTACTATATTATTTCATTGATCCACCAGTCTATCATTTTGATCTGATTCATTTTGTTTCTGATTATGTGAATATGTCCATTAGATCTAAAAATAAAAGTAACCCAACTCACTAGCAACTTTCACATTTAAGGGAAGAATTATTTATGATGTGCATATGTAAATATGAATGTATATGGGAAATCTTGGTTTTTATTGAAACTAAAACTGAGGAGCTTTACATTTCTAACAGAAGTTCAAGGGAAAATGAATGTTTTTTCCTTAACTCATAATAATGTTATTACAACAGGGGCTAGAGCAATAGCACAGTGGGTAGGGTGCTTGCCTTGCATGCAGCCAACCTGGGCTGACCCCGATTCAATTCCTCTGCCTCCTCTCGGAGAGCCCAGCAAGCTACTGAGAGTATTGTGCCCTCATGACAAAGTCTGGCAAGCTAACTGTGGCATATTTGATAAGTCAAAAACAGTAACAAGTCTCACAATGGAGATGTTACTGGTGCCCGCTTGAGCAAATCGATGAACAACGGGAGGACAGTACTACAGTGGTATGAATTCAGTTTGATTATGCATTTACATGTTTTTCCATGATCTCAAAAATCTCAGTAAATGAATCATTTGGCTTAAGGGTAATTCTTGACCTTTTTGCTTGTAGAGCTTATTTTTTGTCCTTTCTCTACTTTCTTATTTTATAGATGAAGAGTTCTTCAGGTACTTCACTATTCTTTTATTGAAATTAGTCTGCATGTTTTATTTATTTTTTATTTTTTTACTTTTTTGGGTCACACCTGGCAATGCACAGGAATTACTCCTGGCTCTGCAGCCAGGAATTACCCCTGGCAGTGCTCAGGGGACCATATGGGATACTGGGAATCAAACTTGGGTCAGCCGCCTGCAAGGCAAATGCCCTGCCCTCTGTGCTATTGCTTCAGCTCCAATCTGCATGTTTTAAAGGAAAAAAATCAGATGAGGGAGAATGTAAAGGAACAAGAAATAATTTAATTAGCTATTGAAATATTTATGCTGTTGTTTTGGCACCATATCCAGTGATACTCAGAGTCTCCTCCCACCACATTGCTGAGGGCGGAGTGGGTGGTGGGGGTATGGTCACTTTGGCAACGCTGCTCAGAGTTACCCACTTGCAAACCATATACTGTAGTCTCTTTGAGCTCTTTCTTCAGCTCCTGTTGAAAACTTTTAAACTTCTCTTTTTTAGATTCATTCACCACTCAGAATGCAAATGGTACTGAGTCTGAAATATCAGTGAAAGCAACAACTCATGTACAGTTCACTCTGAAAAACTGTAAGTACTGAAAGGCTCCTTTTTTAAGTATGAGAAACCCTTAAAGCAAAATTTCAAAACAGCAATAGATAATTGGGTAGGGAAAGGACTTAGTGGAGACAAAGTCAGAAAGTCTTAGTTTCTAAATAAGACTTAAAGTTTTTCCTGTGAAGTAAATTCTATAACTCAAAGCCAAGTTGAGTTATATAGGTCATTCCCTAGGTTTTTGCTCACACTTCATTTGACATCAATATACTTGTTCCTCCATTTCTATTATCTAATGGCATCGGAAAGCCAGGAGGTTCTTATTTTTCTTTGTCTCTTGCTTGGGTCTGCATGGAAATAAAAATATCTCTTTCTTTTAATACTCTCTAGAAATTTTATTTTTCTTAACCCACATTTATATTCTTTTCTGCTCCATACTTTCAGCTTCAAATGTGCTTATTTCCATTTTGCACTGTTCCACTATAAATAACTGTCTGATAGATTAAAGCTGTTGGCAGCATGTGACTGGTAGCAATCAAAATTGTCTCTAAAGTATACACATTATACCATATCTTTCACCCTGTCTGAAGTGTTAACAGCTCTATGAAACATATAAGCCTAAAACAGGAATAAAAATATCATAAAAATGACTAGATAAGAAAAATGCTTCTGGGTCACTGTCCCTGTCCTCCCATTGTTCATTGATTTGCTCAAGTGGGCCCAGTAATGTCTCCATTTTTTTGAGACTTGTTGTTACTGTATTTGGCATATTTAATACTTCACGGGTAGCTTGCCAGGCTCTCCAAGAGGCGCAGAGGAATCAAACCCAGCCTGGCTAGGTTGGCTGCGCACAAGACAAACACCCTACCCCTGTGCTATCGCTCCAGCCCTGCAGGGTACCACCATTTTAATTAGTAAAAAGCATAATTCAGTAATCCCTAACACTAATGACAATGACTATACATTAATGGAAATCTTTGCGTAATTCTAATCATTTGTATTTAGTTAGGGATATTTCAAGGGCATATATTAGACAAATTGCTTATAGGAGTTTTGCTTGTATAATACAACAAATAATACATTGACTTTTGGGGACAAGATCCCAGAGGACCAACTCTTTTTTTTTTTTTTTGGAAGTTCACCTGTCCTCCATTTATTATTTTAAATTTTTAAAATTTTTTATTTTTAATGAATCACTGTGAGGTACAGTTATAGACTTACAAACTTTTGTGCTTATGTAAGTACCTTCCACCAGTGCCCGTTCTCCTCACCAATGTTCCTAGTATCCCTCCCATATCGTCCCCATTCCCCCTCTCCCCCCCGCCTCTGTGGCAGGCCCATTACCTTCTACTCTCTCTGTCCTTTAGGGTATTGTGATCTGCAATGCAAGTATTGAGTGACCATCATGTTCGGTCTATAGTCTACTTTCGGCATGCATCTCCCAACCAGAGCAGGCCCTCTAAACATCCTTTACTTGGTGATCCCTTCCCTATCTGAGTTGTCTTTTCCCCCAGCATGTGAGGCCAGATTCCAAGCTGTGGTGTAAACCTCCGGGTACTTATCTCTACTATTCTTGGGTGTTAGTCTCCAATTTTATTACTTTATATTCCACAAATGAGTGCAATCTTTCCATGTCCCTCTCTTTCTGACTCATTTCACTTAACATGACACTTTCCATGCTGACCCACTTATTTGCAAATTTCATGACTTCATCTTTTCTAACAGCTGCATAGTATTCCGCAGTGTAGATATACCAAAGTTTCTTTAACCAGTCATCTGGAGAACTAACTCTTAAATGAACCAGGCACCTCAAATTCCCATGGGAAATAGAGTGAGGACCGCAGGAACCATGTGAAATTTTTTGAATCCTAATATTTCCGCAAATTTTTAAAATCCTAATATCTCGGCGGGCTGGAGCAATAGCACAGTGGATAGGGCATTTGCCTTGCACACAGCCAACATGGCTGACCCGAGTTCGATTCCTCCGCCCCTCTCAGAGAGCCCGGCAAGCTACTGAGTGTATCTTGCCCGCACGGCAAAGCCTGACAAGCTCCCCGTGGCGTATTCAATATGCCAAACACAGTAACAACAAGTCTCATAATTTGTTGTGAGATGTTACTGGTGCCTGCCCAAACAAATCGATGAACAACAGGAGGACAGTGCAGTGCAGTGCAATATTTCCACATATCATATTCCCAAATTTTGTCAAAAAGTTATGTTGGAATAAGGATTGTTGTCATTTTTGTTTATTTTTACTTGGGGGATCACTCCTAATGGTTTCCTGCGTACCATGTGTAATGCTGAGGATTGAATCACAGTAGGCTGTACAAGACCCTACCCACTATACTATCTCTCTGCCCTTTTTGTCATTTGTCTTTCTTTTGTGAATTGAATCATTGTGAGATATAGTTACAAAGTTGTTCATGATTGGGCTTCAGTCATACAGTTTTTCAACAAACAGCCTCCTTTCACCAATGTACATTTCCCACCACCAGTGATCCCAGTTCCCTCACCCACTCCTTTGGGCAATCCACCATCTGGAAATATTCATCCTTTCCTTCATCTTTCCTCTTTATAAATACTCTCAGGAAAATATGCACATCTTTCTCCTTGTTTTTATTCTCTATTTGTTCTACTTTTAGCTATAAAAATATGCCTAATCACAGATGTTGATTCAACATTTTACATGCTAATCGTTGGCTATCCCTTTTCCTAGATAAAATCAATAAAACTCAGCCTTCTGGAAAACGTACTGAAGAAAACATTCAACAACGCCTTGAAAAAAATATTCCAAGTATTAAAATTAATATACTGTATTCATACATGGACTATAACTTTATATAACTTAATTTCAGAAAGTAATAGCTTGGGGACATAGCAATAGTACAGCAGGTAGGGTGCTTGCCTTGGGCACAGAGGACCCATATTTAATCCTCAGCAACACATTTGGTCTCTGGCCCAGCTAGGAGTGAGTCCTGTGTGCAGAGCACTGACCACCACTGGTTGTGGTCCCAATTAAAAAAAAGAAGAAGAAGGAGAAGAAGAAAGAAAAGAATGTAATAGTATGCCTTAAGAATTTGTATAGTTGCAGTTTAAATTCAATCAAATCTTAATGGCAAAATCAGAGTAAACTTTCACATTTACATGACAAGGTATAGGATATTAACTGTTAAATATTTTAATAAAGTGCATTACATTTATATTTCTTTGAGTATAAATCTGTGAAGTATATTTCAATTTTAAAATATCAAGAGCTTTTATATGCTTGAGAAATAAGCTTATCTCTGTTTAGAGTACATTATTAATATTTTCTAAGATTATCATGAGGGAGACATTTTGGGGAGCAAGTGTTTGCAAAAGCAAAATTTTACATTCTTGCCTAGAACATTTCTCCTTATAAAATCTTTGTGAAATCCTAAAAATCTAGAATGTCTCTAGCCTAAGATCTTGAATTTATGGTTTAATTGAAGACTATGAGTCTGTCGTAATATAAAACAATTCAGGCAATTCATATGTTTCTAATATTACTCTGAATTCTTTTGCATCTTTAATAATGTTACTATATATTTTAAATTCTTTTTTAGTTGACTTTAAAAATAGAAGTTTTTCAACATAACATGAGGCTGACACCTAGTGATAGTAGATACACGGGCCAGGAAGATTGCTCCATAGCTGGAAGCCTGACTCATGAGCAAAGGGGAGAAGGCAGCTGGAATAGAGAAGGGATCACTAAAAAAATAATGGCTAGATGAATCAGTTGGGATGGGAGATGTGTGCTGAAAGTAGATAATGGACCAAACATGATAACCTCTCGGTATTTGCACTGCAAACCATAATGCCCAAAGTAGGGAGAGAGTATGGGGAATATTGTCTGCCATGGAGGCAGGGGTAGAGTGGTAAAGGGGAGGGGGTACCGGAGATATTGGTGGTGGGGAATGTGCACTGATAGAGGGATGGGTGTTTGGTCATTGTGTGATTGTAACTCAAACATGAAAGCTTGTAACTATCTCACAGTGATTCAATAAAATTCAAAAATAATGATATTAATAAATACATAAATAAAAATAGATGTTTTTGATCTCCTTGTTAAATAACTTTAGTAACAATATTAGGTTTGGGTTGGGTTTGTTATTGTTGCTGTTGTTGTTTTGGGTTTTTTTTAAGCTTAACTAGGTCTTCCAGTTGAAAAGATTTGTCCACTGAAGAATTTTCAATCATATCTCTGCCACATTTTCCCTCCAAATTCTTTCCTCCAGACAATCTCAAGCTTCCAGAGTTTACCAAACACACTCATGATTCTGAATGTGTTCACAAAAACAATCTCTACCTCACCTTGTTTACCTGGTAAAAAATTCTAGTCCTCAAAGCCTATAACTGGAGCATTAGCTCCATGTGTGAAGGGTTTCCATCCCTTGCAAGTTGAATTAGACCTTACTTTTCATACCACCTGCACAAGTCAATATTAACACTCTCAACATTCTGCAACACAGTGATTCTTGTCTGCCTTCAAAATTGTGTTCCCTGAACATAATTGCTTCTCTCATTTACATAACTTTAGCGTAACCATAGTTTGACACATGGTAGGAACTGAAGGTGTAACTGTTAAATGAATAAGCTAACAAATAAATGTTCTGTCATGGATTTACTGAAACAGAATAATCATGCTTTCTTTTCCTGTTTTTGTTTTCTTTTTAAACAGAACCAACCTCAGGTCCAAATGAGACTGAATTTTGGACAATGATAGCTAACGGTAAATTCATATTAAGTTGGAATGTTTTGGCTTTCTAAAATACTGCGTAAAAACCAATATTGGTGTAGCCACTTGGTTAATATTTTACTGCCATCATTTCATGTAACAGTAAACACAAAACAAACCCTACAGCTGTTGAGTGTCACACAATTTCATTCTCTTCCCAAAATTCTTATTCTATGAAGTTACAATCAGTCATTAGATTTATCTATGCTTAAACATTTTAAACAAGATTTTTGTTCAACATTCCTTTCTGCATTTGAAGCAGTATAAACACATGAATCAGATAAAAGATATGAAAAATGCAAAGTATTAAAATATATGCATGCACAACATTAATAAATTCAAAAATATTCAAAATGTTTTATACATATGCTGTACATGTGTATGCATGTATAAATATATCTTGCAGACATATAAACATTATTTCTTACACTCATGAGCACATATTATAAATTTCTTACACACATATTCAGTTGAACCTCACTATTAGTGTACTCTTTGTTTGTGAATTTATCTGAATGTCAAAATGTGTTTGGAATCCCCCAATGCAATGATTGCAGCACTTTGGTGATCATCTATATACATACACAGATGCACAGAGCAACCGAATATTTTAATTGCCTGACACTTGAGTTTCCAACTGAGTAGTACAATACTGCCTCTTATTCAGCTCTCAAAGTGTAGTATTTTTCAATGTTACATGTTTTGTATTTTTTGCTTTATATTGGTGATTCTTCTGTTTAAATGCCTCCTTCAATGTAGTTAAAAATGTTGACTAGTGTGCTTAGCACAATAAGGCTATTAAGTGTAAGCAAAAGAGGGGTGTGATGGTTCTTTGAAAATATGTGTTTAGGTAAGCTTTGTTCAGGCATGAGGCTTAGTGCTGTTGACCATAAATTTAATGGTATTTAATCAGCAATATCTAAATAAATTATCTTTAGGTAAATACACATATTAAACAAAGGTTATATATGATATGCTTGCTGAAAATGATGGATACGATGTTATACTTAGAGGAACTTAATACTATACTTTGCATAAGCACAGCAGTTTAATATTTACTAATTCAGGGCTCATGGTAAGTTTATAGAATAATAACTGCCATAAATAATGACAATAATATATATTCACACACATAAATATTTTTAGCAAGAAACTTTTGTTTACCATAACACCAAGTTGTTGTTTTAACAGCTATAAGTGCAACCAATGGGAACCCAGGTGACAAAGAACAATTATTTCAACCAATTCCAGGTAAGAAAAGACCTCAATTAATGGATACTAAAATACTTGCACACATTGTAGTATCTTCATGGTTATACTGTTTCCCCGAGAAAGGTGTAGTAAATGCAAGACAATAGCGTGTCTCTTGTTTCATGACTTTTGTTTCTGATAAGTGAATTTGAGAGGATAGTGAATAATATACAGAGCATGATTTTTATAAAAATTGAGTATTTTTAGAGCAGTTTTAGGTTTAAAGAAAAATCGAACAAAATGTACAGGATTCTCTTATTATCCACCTTGTTAATTTTATTAGTAATATCTTGCATTAATGTGATATATTTTTTATAATTCATGGTTATGGTATTATAATTATATATAATAGCTAAATCACACAGTTGATATAAATATCCTCTTTGTACTATACAACTTTATGGGACAAATGTATAGTGTGATATGTCTATCATTACAATTATAATTTTATGCTTCAATAACCTTCCTTCTTCCAAGTGTTGGAATCCACCGGTCTTTTCAGTTTCTATAGTTTGTTTTTCACATAATGTCATTTAGTAAGAAATAGTCAATATGTAACCTTTAAGATTGGCTTCTTTAACTTAATAAAATGCATTTAGCTATATGCTCATGATTTGGTAATACATTTATTTTTTAAATTATTAAATAACCATAGTCTGTATAGAACAGTTAAAATATCTACTCGCCTATTTGATATCTTTATTGACTTAAACGTTTGGAAATGATTAAAGTTACTATAAACATTAGTGTGTATTTTATGTGAAATAATTTTTCAATCTGCATGAATAAAGGGATCGTGATTACTGAATCCACATGATAAGATTATGTTTAACTTTGTAAAAGACTACACAAAATTGTTCTCCAAAGTGGCTATGTTATTTTGTGTTCCTACCAGATATGAATGAGAAAAATCCTGTTACTAAATGTGGAGGTTTTCATTAATAAACTTTATTTGAGTAAAAAATAAATCCTGACTTAAAATGGAAAATTTCATGATGAATTAATACATTCATCTCCCCTCCCAAACCATTTATATAAATAAATCTAACTGTAAAAGAAATAATATCTGGTAATATATCTTAGATTTGTAACCTCACTTTTGTGCAAAATTATTTGACAAGTACAGCCACTTTGTCTTGCAGTCTCTCAAGAAATTGAAGTTTGTCATTTTTGTCTAGGAAAGATACATAGGAATTTTAAAGGCTGGGTTACTTTAGAAACATTTTATCGTTTTAAATCTAAGTGAGAATGCTTGATTTTCTATCATGTTTTGAATATGTTCAAAGTGCTTTGTGCAAATTACTACATCATTCATCACAGCAACTTCATGAATTTGGTATTCTCTCTATTTTTAATGGATGAGATATAGAGATGTAGAAAAAAAACTGCCCAAGCTTGTAATTAGCTTCTTAATAACTTTCAGCAGTTAGAAATCCCTTCTCCCTAATTTGGACTATCACTCTAATTTTATCACCTTGATTTTATCATTTAAATTTTATTTAATTTAAATAATAGGTAACATGGTCACAATAGTAGTGTTAAGTTTGATTTTGAAAAAAACCAATTAAAGCACATTTATTTATCAAAAACTATTTAAGAATAGCAAAGCAATTCAGAAACACAGTTTATTTTTTGTTATTATCAAAATAATCTGCCTCCAAACTCAAGATTTTAAGTCACTGACTGACAACTATACACATTCCACTTCACTTAGTTTAGAATCATGATTTGATGACTTCAGTTTTAAAACATAAAATATAGATATGGGATCTTATCATTTCTTACTTCCAAAACATGATTACCCAGAAAAGAATGAAAACCAATGGAACTTCTAAGTAGGGCAAATCGACACTTAAAAGAAACATCAACATAATCATCTAAAGTCACCATGAAATGTCTATTAAGTCATATCTACTTAGGAAAATAAATTTTTTTAATTTTTTTTTATATTTGCTTTAGTAGGTTAGTAAATACAAAAAACTTCTAGCATTTCTTCACCCAACATGATTTTTTTTTTCTTTTTTATTAGTGAAACGACATGAGGTACAGTTGTAGAATTACAAATTTTTGTGCTTGGATCTCGGTCATACCCCGATCAAATACCCATCCCTCCACCAGTGCCCATTTTCCACCACCAGGATAATATCCCTCCCCCCCATCCTCCCATCCCCCCATCCCCCCCTGCCACTGTGGCAGGGCATTCCCCCCTGTTCTCTCTCTCCTCCTGGGCGCTGTGATCAGCCAAAGAGGCATTGAGTGGCGAACATGTTCAGTCCAGTCTACTTTCAACCTGCATCTCCCCTCCTGGGAGGATCCTCCAAACACCCTCCACTTGGTGTTCCCCTTTCTATCTGAATTGTCCTTTCCCCTAGAATACCCAGCTGGCCTCTAAGTTATGGAGTAATTCTCCTGGTGTTGCTCTCAGCTATTCTTGGGTATTAATCTCATATTTTATTATTTTATATCCCCCAGATGAATGCTATCTTTCTATGTCTATCCCTCTCTTTCTGACTCATTTCGCTTACATGATTTTTTACTATGTAATTTGATTAGAAAGTTATTTTTTTAAAAAAATTTCAGTGACACTAGGTTTGATCTCCATAACAACGTGTTTTGTTGGTTGCCACCTTCCCCCCCGACACACACACACACACACATGCACACAGTGGTGCTCAGGGCTTACCCCTGGCTCACAGTACTGACGGTGCTCAGGATCGAACCCAGGTCAGCCATGTGCAAGGCAATGGAAAAAGCATCCAGGACACCATCATTTTATCACTGGAGGAAAATAAATATGCATCTCAACAGTAGAATTCCATTTAGTCACTTGTGTGTAGATTTACCACACTTCAAATAGTAATCTTTTCAGAGTTTTAAACTGGTTTTTGTCAGATTGGGAGGAATTTTTCTATAAATATTTTAACATGTGTTAACCTGATTTCACCGCTGATTAGCATAGTGCCATGGGAAAATTCATAAACTTTGGAGATTTTATAAAGAACAGCTTCTCCAGGATTTTCCAGAAGCTTTGACAGAAAAGTTTAGCGTGTTTGTCCATAAGGAATAAACTATAGCTCTCTGTGTGGTGCGTGAAGATTGAGGGGAATGAAGCCGGCAGTAAGTATTCCCATGGTGGAGGTTGTTGCAATTCTCGTTTCTTCAGTAAAAAGCACATGTGGAACACAGATGCATTTATCTATTATAATTTCTTTCTTTCCTCTTAGACACGGATGTGACTAGTGGGTACCAAGTGAACCCAGAAGATATAGAGGACATCAAGTTAAAATTAATGCTGGGTGTCTCGTTGCTGACCCTCTTACTTTTTGTACTCTTCTTGGCAATCTGTAGTGCCCTTTTGTACAAAATGAAGGCAGCAAAGTAAGTCTACACATCTCTGGAGTCTTTACAATGTACAGTGTGGCGCTCTCTCCCTTCTTAGCTGGGAAGCAGGACACTGAAATTTATAAGATGTTCATTCTGGCACCAGACCTCTTTTTCAGAAAGGAGAATGAAACTGTATCTTTGGGAGCTTTCTCTTTGAACTTTCTCACATCAATTTATATAGTTATTTAGAAGTAGAGATGAACCTAGTCAATTGGAAAAGATAGTCTAGACACGCATCCTTTTTTTATAGTTTTGGAATAAAAATGCTATGAATTCTGTTCTAAATAGTAAATAGATTTGGGGAGGGTCTAATACTTTCCATTCATTCATATAACATTACTGAAGTTACAAAATCACTGATAGAATTCATATTATTTTCACTTTTGTGTTGCTCTTATGAGTTGAACAGCAAAGTACACAAGCCAATGTTGATATGTATTTTCTCTTTTAGTTCTAAGAAGGAATATTCCAGTGAATATACTGTCAACCCTGAACTGGCCGAAATATCATACTTTCATCCATCAGAAGGCATATCAGACACGTCCTTTTCTAAGAGTGGCGAAAGCAGCACATATTGGGGAAACACTTCTTCAGAAATGAAAAAATCAGAGACAATAGAGATAAAGACTCTCACACAGGACATTTCCTTAGCAGACTCAGATGATACAGGCTTGATTGAAGAGTCAGACTTACCTCAGAGTGAGGAAGTCAGTGAAGAAATTCGCACTAATAAATAGATGAATAGACAGCTTCTTATTTGTTTATTTATTTATTTATTTTTTAGTCATAAAAAAAAAACCTCTGTTGTTCACATCAATGTCATGATTCAGAAACCATGCTGAGATCTTTAATTATTCTGCTGTGTGAAGAGGAGGATATTTTCTTTCAGCTATAACAAATAATGGGAAATAATCAAAGACATAATATAAGGTGTAGGAATTTTATCAAGTAGAAATAATTCTGGAAAGTGATAAAATTATTTGCTCTAGGCTCACTGTCACTGTCCTCCCATTGTTCATCGATTTGCTGAAGCGGGCCCAGTAACCCTTCCATTGTGAGACTTGTTGTTACCATGTTTGGCATATCAGATACATCACGGGGAGCTTGCCAGGCTTTGCTGTGCAGGCTAGATACTCTTGGTAGCTTTCTGGGCTCTCCTAGAGGGGCGGAGGAATCGAACCTGGGTCGCCTGTGTTGGCCTCGTCGGCTGCATGCAAGGCAAACGTGCTATTGCTCCAGCCCTAGTTTTAAAAAAATTTCTTTATTGATGTAACATTGGTTTATAACATAGACTTCTATACTAAGTGGAAAAAAGATCATGTGCAGAAAGACTAATACAGCATCCCCTCACTCAAGTAGAAGAAAAAAGGAAAGAAAACAAACAAAAACTTGAGCTGGTTCCTTTTTCCCCTATTTTTTCATTTTGGGGGGTCATGCCCAGAGGGACTTGGAGCTTACTCCTGGCTCCACACTAAGAGATTATTCCTGGAGGGCCTGGAGGACCATGTAGGGTGCAGGGGATCCAACCCTGGTAGCCACCTATAAGGCAAGTAGGTCAAGTGTCCTACCCACTGTGCTATTTATTGCTCTAGCCCCAGCAACTTTATTTTTAAGTGACAAAGTCTAGATATCCATTTTATGTGGGATATTTTGAGAAATTTGAGAACTTTTCTTTTTTTTGCTTTTGGGTCACAACTGGAGATGCACAGGGGTTACTTATGGCTTTGCACTGAGGAATTACTCCTGGTGGTGCTCGGGGGACCATAATGGGATGCTGGGAATCAAACCTGGGTCAACCGCGTGCGAGACAAATGCCCTACTCGATGTACTATCACTCCAGCCCTTATTTTGAAAACTTTTAAGCTAAGCACTTCTACCAATGTCCCTCTATACCTCCAAAGCAAAACCAAGCAAAAACCAAACACCTGCTTATGTTTTACTGGCAAATCTGTTTGCTGTTATCAAGAGATAAAATTAATGCTAGAGTCACAGCACTCTTGAAATAACAGTCATCAGTGCTATTTTCATGGGCAAACAAAAGGAAAGACCATTCACAATTCTAAAATATCATAACAATTTCTGATGCTCCAGAAGAAAAGGCAATCCCAGTATGTAATTTCCCAGAGGTGGATTCATGACTCTATTTTTTAAAAATTATTATTTATTTAACAAGTATTAATACATCGTAGGGATTCCGTTTCACTGTTTATACTCAATTACAATTTCAATAAAGATATGATAAATTATTTAAAGCAATGGATAAGGATTTTGTTTTGTTTTTTTTAATTGAGTCACCATGAGATACACAGTTACAAAGCTGTTCATGATTAGGTTTCAGTCATACAACATTCCAACATCTATACCTCCGCCAGCATCCATTTGCCACCACCAATGACCCTCGTTTTCCTCTTGTCACCACCCACCATCTCAGCCTGTCTCTATGGCAGATATTTTTTTCTCTCTCTTTCTCTACCCCTCTCTCCTTCTCAAACCCCCACTCTTTCTTTCTCCCTCTACCTCTCCTTTTGGGCATTATGGTTTGCAATACAGATAGAGATTATCATGTTTGTTCCTTTACCTATTTTCAGCACGTAAATCTTATCCAGAGTGATCATTTCCAATTATCTTTGTTGTAGTGGTCCCTTTTCTATCCCAACTGCTTTTCCCCACACATTTGAAACAGACTTCCAACCATGGACCAATCCTCCTGGTCCTTGTTACTACTGTCATTGATTATTAGTCTTACAATTATGTTTATATACATGCCCAAAACAAATGCAATCATTCTATGTCTGTCCCTCTCCTTCTCACTCATTTCACTCAACATGATACTCTCTATATCTATCCATTTATAAGCGAATTTCATGACTTAATTTTTCCTAACTGCTCTATATAGTATTCCATTGTGTACCCATACTATAGTTTTTTTAATCAGTCATCTGTTCTCGAGCACAGAGGATGTTTCTAGATTCTGGCTATTGTGAATAGTGCTGTGATAAACACAGAAGTGCAGATACCATTTCTGTAGTGTGTTTTGTGGGCCCTGAAATATATTCCCAGAAGTGGTATTGCTGGGTCAGGTCATATCAAAATCTAGCTTTTTGGGGAATGCCCATATTGTTCTCTAAAAAGGCTGGACTAGTTGGCATTGCCACTAACAATGAATTAGAGTCCTTTTCTCCACCCACCTGCATCAGAAATGATTTCTCTTGTTCTTTTGGATGTGTGTCAGTCTCTGTGGTGTGAGATGATATTGCTGTTTCGATTTGCATCTCCCTGATGATTCGTGATAAAACCATTTTTTTCATATGCTTTTTGGTCATTTGAATTTCTTTTTTGAGAAAGTTTCTGTTCTTCTCACCATTTTTCGATGAAGTTGGACATATTTTCCTGTAGTGTTCAACCAGTGCTTTGTATATCTTTGATATTAACCCCCTGATCAGAAGGGTATTGGATAAATAAACTTTCCGGTTCTGTAGGCTGTCTTTGTATCTTGATCACTTTTTCTTTTGAGGTGCAAAAGCTTCTAAGTTAAATGTAGTACCATTTGTTTATGTTTGTTTGCACTTGGTGGTGTTTCATCTTTGAAGATACCTTTAGCTTCAATATTGTGGAGGTTTTGCCTACATTTTCTTTCATTTACCTTAATGATTCAGGTCTGATGTAGAGGTCTTTAATCCACTTCTACTCTGACTTTTGTGCATGGAATTAGAGGTCTGAGTCTATTTTTTTTTTTTGCACGTAGTTGTCCAGTTGTACCAGTGCCACTTGTTAAAGAGGTTTTCCTTGCTTCACTTCATATTTCCTATGCCCTTATCAAAGATTAAATGATCATATATTTGAAAATTCTGTCAGGATATTCAACCTTATTCCATTGGTCTGTGGGTCTGTCTTTATTCCAATACCATGCTGTTTTTTTTATTTTTTTTATTTTTTTTTTAATTTTTAGTGAAACACCATGAGGTACAGTTGTAGATTTACAATTTTTTGTGCTTGGGTTTCGATTATACAATGATCAAATACCCATCCCTCCACCAGTGCCCATTTTCCACCACCATGGATAATATCCCTCCCACCCCCATCCCTCCCATCTCACCCTGCCTCTGTGGCAGGGCAATCCCTTGTGTTCTCTCTCTCCTTTTGAGTGTTGTGGTCTGCAAAAGAGGCTTTGAGTGGCAAACATGTTCAGTCCATAGTCTACTTTCAACATGCATCTCCCTCCTGGGAGGATCCTCCAAACACCCTTTATTTGGTGCTCCCTTCTCTAATTGAGCTGCCCTTTCCCCTAGAATGCCTTCTGGCCTCTAAACTATGGAGTAATCCTCCTGGTGTTGATCTCAGCTATTCTTGGGTATTAATCTCATATTTTGTTTCTTTATATTCCCCAGATGAATGCAATCTTTCTATGTCTATCCCTCTCTTTCTGACTCATTTCACTTAGCATGATACTTTCCATGTTGTACCACTTGTATATAAATTTCATGACTTCATCTTTTCTAACAGCTACATAGTACTCCATTGTGTAGATGTACCAAAGTTTCTTTAACCAGTTATCTGTTCTTGGCATTCAGGTTTCTTCCAGGTTCTGGCTATTGTAAAGAGTGCTGCAATGAACAAACAAGTGCAGATATCACTTCGACTATACATTTTTGCCTCTCTGGGATATATTCCCAGGAGTGGTATTGCTGGGTCAAACCATGCTGTTTTAATCACTACTACTGTGTACTGCAGTTTGATGTTGGGAAAGATAATGCCTCCCATCTTCTTTTTTCCCAAGAATTGTTTTAGCTATTCATGAATGTTTATTGTTGCATATGAATTTGAGGAGTTTTTGATCAATTTCTTTGAAAACTGTCATGGGTATCTTTATAGAGACTGCAGTGAATCTGTGTAATGCTTTGGGGAATGTTGTCATTTTGACAATGTTAATTCTCCCAACCCATGAGCAGAGGATGTGTGTCCATTTGCTTATGTCTTCTTTTATTTCTTGAAGTAGTGTTTTGTAGTTTTCTTTGTATAGGTCCTTTACTTAATTAGTTAAGCTAATTCCAAGGTACTTGAATTTCTGAGGCATAATTGTGAATGATTTTTTTTAAATATTGCTTTCTTCTCTTCATTATTTGCATATAGGAAAGCCATAGACTTTTGGGTATTGATTTTATAACCTACTACTTTACTATATAAATCTATTGTTCTAGGACATTCTTGATAGAGGCTTCAGCGTTCTCTAAGTATAGAATAATGTCATCTGCAAATAGTGAGAACTTGACTTCTCCCTTTCCTATCTGAATACCTTTAATATGGTTTTCTTCCCTAACTGCTATGGCTGTAGTAACATCCAGTATTATATAGAAGTGGCAAGAGTAGGCATCCTTGTCCCTGATTTTAGAGGGAAGGCTTTTAGATTTTCCCCATTACTAGCCATGAGCTTGTGGTAGATGTCTTTGACTATATTGTGGAAAGTTCTTTCAATTCCCATTTTGTTGAGAGTTTTCATCATAAATGGGTGCTGGACCTTGTCAAATGCTTTCTCTATCTATTGATGTGATCATAAGGTTTTACTTATTGATACAATGAATTATGTTTATTGGCTTACAAATGTTAAGCCATCTTTGCATCCTTGAGATGAATCCCACTTGGTCATGGTGTATGACCATTTTGATGAGTCATTGGATTCTATTTGCTAGAATTTTGTTGAAAATCTTTGCATCTGTGTTCATTAAGGAAATCACCTGTA